GAATTACTGGCCCATATGGTAACTATGCTTAACATTTTGAGGAAGTGCAAAACTGTTTTCCACAGCAGCCCCATCATTTTACACTCCCACTAGCAATGTATGAGGGTTCCAATTTCTCCACATTCTTACCAACACTAGTTATACCTGTCTTTTTGATTATAGCCATCCCAATGGGTGTGAAGTACAATCCCATCGTGGTTTTGATTTGCATTTCCCTAATTGCTAATGATGCTGAACATCTTTTCATATGCTTTTTGGTCATTTGTATATTTCTTTTAGAGAAATGTCAATTTAGACAATTTATCTATTTTTAGTTATTTGCCTTTTTGTTATTGGGTTATAAGCGTTCTTTATGTATTCTAGATACAAGTCCCTTATCAGATATATAACATATTTTCCTCCCATTCTGTGGGTTGTCTTTTCACTTTCTTGATGGTGTCTTTTGAAGCACAAAAAGTTTTCATTTTGATCAACACCAATTTATCAATTTGTTTCTTTTGTTGCTTGTGGCATTGGTGTGATATGTATGAAAACATCGACTAATCCAAGTTCACATATGAACTACGAGGTGACAAGCTAAGTGTGGCAAAGTAGCAGTAGAGTAGAATCCTGGTTCTCTGATGACTATGAAGCTGCATGCTAGCCTTGCACTGCCAAATTCTGGGTCTATTTTACATTAGAGTGAGATAAAGTATCTTATTTTTTAAAAATTAAGAGCTCTTATTCCTTAAAATATACCACTGAATGAAAAACAAGGGTATAAGAAGATATTTGCAAACACATAACCGACATAAGTTCAGTATCCATAATGTATAATGAACTTTTACAAATCGGTAACAAAAAGACAAACAACCCAGTAGAAAAATGGGCAACAGAAATGAGCAAGTATTTCACAGAAGAGAAAACACATATGGCTCATAAACATATTATAAACACTCAACCTTATTAGTAATCATAGAAGTATAAATTTCACACCCACAAAATAACACAAATTTAAAAGTCTGAAATATCAGGTGTTACCTATTATATAGAACAATGGAAAATCATATCCTGCTTATGAAAATGTAAATTTGTATAATCATTTTGGAAAACAGTGGTTTGGAGATACTTATGAGGTCAAGGAATTTTTTTTTTTTTGTTGAGACAGAGTCTCACTCTGTTGCCCGGGCTAGAGTGCCATGGCATCAGGCTAGCTCACAGCAACCTCAAACTCCTGGGCTCAAGTGATCCTTCTGCCTCAGCCTCCCGAGTAGCTGGGACTACAGGCATGCGCCACCATGCCTGGCTAATTTTTTCTCTATATATTTTTAGTTGTCCAGATAATTTCTTTCTCTTTTTAGTAGAGACGGGGTCTCGCTCTTGCTCAGGCTGGTCTTGAACTCCTGAGCTCAAACGATCCTCCCGCCTTGGCCTCCCAGAGTGCTAGGATTACAGGCGTGAGTCACTGTGCCCGGCCGAGGTCAAGGAATTATAGTGGGAGTAACAAGAAGCTGGACAGCAAGCTGGAAAGATGGTAGGTTGTTTAGAAAATGCGATGTTTGAATTAATGATTTAGGAGGCAGAGAAGTTTGTGTAATGGTAAAGTACAAGGTATAACCTTCCAAGTAGTCAGCTAAAGTGGAGAGGAAATGTTCATTTAAGACAACAAAGTGTATCAGTTTGGGTCCAGTCAGGACAGAAAAAACCACACAGTAACATGAACAAGAAAAGTTTAACATAAAGAATTAACGATAACGGGATTAGAGTTTTGAAGGATTCACTAGTAAGAAGTAAAGGAAACTCAAAGAATATAGGATAGCAGATATATTAATATAATAGCAGACAATGCAAAAATAATGTATAATAACCAATACCCCTAGAGCTGTGATAATCTTCCTCTCCACCCAGGGCTGAGATCCAGGCTGAAGTAGTTGAAGTAGTTGGTATGATATTGGTTCAGTGGAACTTGCTGGACATCTGCTCTCTATAACTTGCTGGTTCACATAGGAGGTGTCTCATCAGAGATGCTTTGCTACAGAACCAGCCAAGAATAGTGCCAGGAGAAGCTGCTACCCACTGTGCATTGGGGAAACCAGTACTGCAGCAGGTAGGCACTAGGGAACCTGGAAGCTCAGCAGGAGCCTGTGGAGTAAACACATAGGGAACAGGAAGTAAAACCCCTTCTTCCTGCAATGTCTCTACACCACTGCCTCCTAATAAAACTTAATATCATGCCAGCTGTCAAAGTAAAAAATATTTCAAGGCCCCAGGTCCATTTTCAAAGAACAGATATAAAGGGGGATTGAGAGGTAATAAATTGATTACTGGTGGAGGAGGTCAAGGAACTGAGTGGCCATGATGTTGGATTGTTGTTCTTGTGGATATTAGAATGACCTAGATGTCTGCAAAAGTTTGCTTGGAATAGAAGGTTATAAACCAATTTGTTTCTCCAAGTGTGACCTTGGTCTATCTGTATCAGAATCAAGTGGAGTACTTTAATAATACACATTCCTTTGCCCCACTGTAGATCTTCTGAACAAGAGTACCTGGGAATAGGACCCCCAAATTTTTTAACAAGTGCCCCAGTAGATTTGAAATAAAAAAGTTATGAATATTTCAAACATGTAAAAGAAAATAGTAAAACAGCTACCAGTGTACCCAGCATCCAGTTTTAACAAATGTTCACATTTGCTTTATTTCCTGCATATGTTTTTGTTTTTCATAAAATGTTACCTAGGTTAGCTCAAGTTCCACTCTCATTCCTTTGTCCTCCATGCCTCACAGGAGGTGATTATTATGGACATTGTTGTTTGTCAGTCACTACTTTAGGCAATGGAGAGTCTTTGAGGGTTTTTGAGCAGGGATATTAACACTAGAGATGTTTTTGGAAAATCAACCAAACTGCTCTCCTAGAGAGTTCATTAGGATGAGAGGATGAAGGTGGGAAAGCCCTTGAGGAATGAGGTTCAGTGGCCCAGAGAATGTGTTACTAAGGATCTGAAGTAGAGTGAGAGACCTTTGCTTTTTTGCCCTCATGCTCTCGTGTGAAGCTCTTTGTGTCACTGTGACCCACAGTCTTTCAACGCCCTCCCCTCACTCCTTCAGTTCATTAGCTCCTTCCTGTCTTCTCTGGCTGTGCCAGCCAGCCTGGGATCTATGGGTAGTCATTTCACCTATATGCTTGCCACTGCCCCAGAATTCCTTGCTTTCTTGACATTGCACCATACCAACTGTAACTTTCCATTCTTTGTACTAATAGAACTGTTTCTTCTGCCTTGAGGCAGTGGCCTTGGCTTTTTGATTTTACTTTATTACTTACAGTAATATTTGTTATAGCCAATGTCCAAAATGAGGCAGATTTTCATCCAGATGACCTTAGTGGGCTCAAGCTTATTTTGGACTAGGTCAGGTTCCCGAAATTACTCAGACTTTGTTCTTCATTAGAAAATGTAAGTGATAACTCAATAATACTGCCAGATTTTTTTTGTCTATAGAGTAAAATTTGGATGAGCAATTGTGAAAACAACTGTTCAAGTGAAAAATAAAAATGTGCTTAAGTAGGTCAGATTTGGAAATTTAATTTATCAACAAATAGATTCTGTTTTTACTTTCATTACATAGATTTGGCCATGGGTCAAAGTCAATGAAAACTTTTGGTTGACTACACTTATTTTGCTTAAAGTATAAGTACATCAAACCAAAACATATGAAGGTCAAATCCTTGTGATAGAACTATGGATAGACACAACAATGTGGATGAATCTCAAAATGATGATATTGAGTTAAAGAAGGCAGACAAAAGAAAGTACTATACTTTCTACTTCCATTTATAGAAGATTCTTAAAAATGCAAATTAATCTACAGAGACTGAAAATAGATTAGTTGTTTCCTGGGATTTGTGGGGGAGGGGAGGAAGAAGGAATTGAAAGGTACAAGGACATTTTTTTTTTTTGAGACAGAGTCTCACTATGTTGCCCGGGCTAGAGTGCCATGGCATCAGCCTAGCTCACAGCAACCTCAAACTCCTGGGCTCAAGCGATCCTCCTGCCTCAGCCTCCCGAGTAGCTGGGACTACAGGCATGCGCCACCATGCCCGGCTAAACAAGGACATTTTTGGTGTTATGAAAAGGTTTATCTGGATTGTATGTGTGTGACTGCATCAAGGTATATGCATGTCAAAATTCATTAAATCATACACCTTAAATATGTGTAGTTTATTATGTGTCAATTGTATCTCAAAATATTTAAAAAAAATCATTAGCAAGAAAATATGTTGGTTTTAACCCATTAAAACAAACAAAAAAATCCTTGTTATAATCAGGTACTGTCCTATACCAGGGTCACCATCCAAGTTTATTCATTCATTCAGCATTTTTGAACATCCATGGTGTATACCAGGCACTCTGTTGGCAACACAGTGTTAAATGAGATTGACAAGACCCCTACTCTATGGAGCTTACATTCTAATGGAGGAGACGGATCAACAAGTAATGATAGTAAAGTGTGCCAGGTGCAGTGGTTCCTGCCTGTAATCCCAGCACTTAGGAAGGCCAAAGCAGGAGGATCACTTGAGCTCAGGAGTTCAAATCCAGCCTGGGCAACACAGCGAGACCCCATCTCTACAAAAAAATTAGTCAGGTGTGGTGGCGTGTGCATGTAGTCCCAGCTACTTGGGAAGCTGAGGCAGGAGGATTGCTTGAGCCCCAGAGTTTGAGGTTGTGGTGAGCTATAATCATACCACTGCAGTCCAATCTGGGTGACAGAGTGAGACCTTGTCGATAATAAATAAATAAATAGTAAAGTGTGATAAGTATTATGATAGGGCAAGAAAGGGCAGCTTTAAAAATCCTTAGTAGAGTTATCTAAGCTGATTATTTGGTAGTAGATGACTGAAGCTGTGTTGAAAAGGATTCTGAGGCTTAGCAGGAAAGAGCAATGATTGATCAGATATCGCCCATGCATGCGGAGAGGTAATGATGGTGAGTGTCACACATTTGCCAACATAGGGCTATACGATTAAAGTTGGCTTTATCATAAACTTCCCAACAGTATGACTATTTCAACTGATTCTGAAAATGTTTGAGAATAATGAAGATCTCTTGCTATAGATGAGGTTTTTTTTCAGAGCAGTATTTTAAATGCAAAGTGTTTCTTGTTGGGGAAACATGAAACTTCCAGACTGTAGTGTAGAGACAGAAGACAAGTGCTCTTTTGTTCTCAAACGTTCTGTTTTCAAGTGTATTTTACCCACTTATGTGACTGTGTCTGAGCCTTTGCTAAGGGTACTGCAGCTGGATTGTGTAGTGGAACCAGGTCCAGAAAAAGAATTGCTAAAGAATGCAAGTAAACAGGATGTCAGATGTTATCCTTAGCCTATTTCCCTAAACATAGCTTTTTGGCTGCAAAGTAAAATGCCATTCTTTTGGCTTCTGCTTATACACAGTGATGGCTGACAGCAGGCGCAATCTTCATTTGCTTGGCACGTTGTCATCACGCAACTCAACGTGTTTTGCAAGGAATGATCGTGACACATCATCTCTGTGAGATAGTATGAGGACATTCAGCCATTTCTTGGAAGAATTTTCTCAGCCTACCTTCTCTGAGCCCCATCGTGCCAGCACAGCGCCCCATGAGGCTCAGATCTGTCTGACCTAAGCGCCAGTTGGCATCTTCCTCCTAACAGAAGCCAGATTTTCACTGGGGCTAGACTATTTATTGACAGTGTTTTCCCAGACTGGCCCATGAGTGTCTCATTTCCAAGGTCCCCTGAAGTGCTGGCTAACCTCTATTTTCCAAGAGCACTTGCTTCCTTCTCTCTCCCCCCTCCCCAGCATCTTCCTCACTTTCTTCCCTTAGAGCTCCTTGCACTGTTTGAGTGTGTGTGTATGTGTGTTCTTTTTTTATCCTAATGAATTTGTTTTGCAGGTTTTGAAAAAGAAAACCGGTGTTATCCAGGATTTTTACATTAATTCGTATCTGTTTCCACATCTTTGAGTGTGATCTTTGTGGTTTTAAAATCCCATATTTTGAGTGGGTTCCACTGTTGTCTAAGAAAAGTTGTTTTAAACCTTTGCTCTGCAAGCACCAGAAGAGAACTCAGAAAAAGGAAGACAACAGCAGATGCAATCACGGATGTGGCTTAGTCCTTGCAGCTGCCCCAGAGAGCTGTTCAGAGTGTACCGTCCTCAGTAATGAATCCAGAAGAGCGAATCGTGACATGGCTTATATCTTTGGGAGTTTTGGATTCCCCCAAAAAGACCATCTGTGATCCGGAGGAGTTTCTGAAGTCCTCGCTGAAAAATGGGGTAGTGCTGTGCAAACTGATCAACAGACTTATGCCTGGCTCTGTGGAAAAGGTAAGGTAAATTCGCAGTATCTTTGGGACTGCTTACCACCAGAGAGCAGCAATAATGTAACTCTTGCAATTTTTCTATTGCCCAGGTCATGGGAATCTCCTACATTAGTATCTTTCAAAGAGTTAGACATTCTTACTGTTTTTTTAGTTTGAAAAGTCAGAAAATGAAATGTTATCCTTTAGTAATCGGCCCCCAAATATTAGTATAGGGAAAACATGTTACACCACTGGCAATAGGGGACAAGGAGAACACCCACGTTGCAAGCTGGCTCTGTCATGGAGATGTATGTTGTACTCCCTGTGTACTGAGGACATGTTTTGAACTTGGGGCACATATGAGTCCATGGAATAATAGAATGATTTATAATAAATCTTGATGGTGTTTTGTGACAGTTTGACTAAAATCAATGCAGATTTCCTTTCAAAAAATATCCATTAAAGGAGAGACTATTTAGCAACTAAAAGAAATAATTCAAAATGTCACATAAAGGTTGTAAAAACAATAGAAACCAGATATATGTTTTGAATGCAACGTGCTTTCAAAGTGAAACTAACTTCACTCTCTTTAGAAAAAATCCAAGATTTGAAATGTTGGAAACCCATGATCACGAGAATAGATAATTTCTAAAGTAGATACTTTAAGTAAGCTTAAAGTTATAGTTTTAAAATTATTTTCTTAAAGTCATCATGGAATGTGACTGTGAGTATAGCTGTTTTGTCTTCTTGAACCAGTTTCTATTTTTATTGAGCAAATAGATTTACTTGTAATTTCTTAAACTTGAGAAAGAGTGATAAAATGGTGATAAAACGTAGAGAAATGTGATCAAATGTACAGAACAGCCAAGGGAAAATATAACTTTAATAAATTATCATGGGGAAGGGTGAGGAAGGTAATAGCTATTGCTTTTTTTTTTCTTGAAAGCAAGAACCAAGCTCAAAAAACTGTTAGTCTCTCTAATTTGCTATGAGCACACTTGAGCAGAAAGCGTAAGAAAAAGTTTGTAAGTAGACATGGCTTGGCTCTAAAGGTTTGGTGACAATTTGAAACAAAGACCGACCGTTTGGATTTTTGCATCACTTCCTTCAGTGGTTATTTCTCTTCCTGGATTGACAGCAATGTTGCCCCATGCCTTAAAAAAGCCTACTTTCTCTCGTTATCAGCGAATGATGAATATGGTTTGCTTGGCATGGGATGACAATCTCCAAATGACATTTCATTATGTTTCTCTAGTATTGCCTGGAGCCCCAAACCGAAGTCGACTGCATCAACAACATTAATGACTTCCTGAAAGGATGTGCAACCCTTCAAGTGGAGGTAAGCCTACCCAGGGTGCTTTCCTCGTTATCATCATTTTTTGCTCTGCTAATCAAGATTGGTAGCAAAATTACTTTATTTTCATTGTCTTTGGCCACCGAGTTAAACAGAGGTACATTTTATGGAAACTGGAGTTGAGACTGGTGGTCCCCAGTAGTGGATTGCTAATCTGTCTTTTCCAGAAACCAGTTGCAAACAAAACAAAACAAAATCAAAACTCAAAAAATGATTCCTTTTATATGCAGCATCCAAGCCCTGAAAACAGGCTTCCAGTGACAGAGCTTATGCAGATGTGCTTCCCTACTAAAGGGAACAAAAAGTGGGCCACACTGGCTGTTGCAGAGGGTCATTGTAATCCCTCTCCCCCCCACCCCCGGAGCTGAGAAGAGAGGAGAGGTCACTGTCACTCTTTTTCATTAACACTTTAGAACAGAGGTTTTGAAAAGCTGAGACAACCTAGTTCTGAAGTAGAAATTGTATATTAAATTACGTGGCATTATTTTAAAAATTATTTGTTTATTTATTTATTTTAGAGACAGGGCCTCACTCTGTTGCCCAGGCTGGAGTGCAGTTGCTGGATCATAGTTCATTGCACCCTTGAACTCCTGGGCTCAAGCAATCCTCCCACCTCAGCCTCCTGAGTAGCTGGGACTATAAGCGCACAACACCACACCTGGCTAATTTTTAAAATTTTTGTATAGACGGATTCTCGCTATGTTGCCCAGGCTGGGCACAAACTCCTGACCTTAAGAGATCCTCCTGCCTTGGCTTCCCAAAGTGCTGGGATTGCAGGCAGGAGCCACTGCACCTGGCTGCATTATTTTATATTATATGGACCCCTACCATATAATACAGGTATAGAACATGTTACTGAAAGAGTGGTGATACTTCCACCTATGTGTCAAGTTATTTAACTTCTCTGGGCCTCAGTGTTTTTATCTGTAAAATGGACACAGTAATAACTACCTCTTGGGATTCTTTTAAGAATCAGATAAGATAATACATAATAATTTAGAGTTAAGAGCTCCAACCTCATAAGATCTATGAGATAACTTATGTGGAGTCCTCAACAAAAGGCCAGGGTCAGAAGAATTGCTCTATATTAGTAAATAAGCATTAATAGTATTGTCTGTGGAGAAGTAGTTGAGATTGGATTATGGACTGTGGTGCTAGACTTCTTGAAGTTCAAATCTCAGTTCTCTTTCACTAGTAGCTTTGTGACTTTGGGCATGTTACTTAACTATGCCTCTAGGCCTCAGTCTCCCCACCTATAAAGTAGGAATAATAGTGGCACCTATCTCATAGGGTTGGTGTGAGATTTCAATGAATTCATACATGTAAAGCCCCCAGAAGAGTACCTGGCATGTAGTAAGTGTTTTCCGCAGAGTAGCTATTATTATTATTATTATTATTATTATTATTATTATTGTTAGCAGTACTAGTAGCTTTGCCCCAGATAAACTGCTTCTTTCACATTTTTTCCTAAGGTTAGCCCTAGCATCACGTTACACCTGTCTCAGAATATTTTATTCCAGTTTTCCCTATCGCCCAATTTGAGCATGCTCTGTCTCTGTTTCTCTCTTTCTCTCTCTCTCTCTCTCTCTCTCTTTCTTTCTGTGTGTGGCTTTGAAGATAGGTGTGGCATGAAACCACTTCATATCCCTTATAGAATAATGTCTACTATGGAACAGATCCTGGTATTTTCTTTATTTTTCAAATAAAGACATGGTGAAGTTGCTAATGATTTCTGCAGTCTGAGGTTGCCAGAAGGTATACTGAGCTTCTTTGCATTTCTAAGAACACTAGATGATACAGAAACACCTCCTGGGTCTGGCACTGTTGGCGAGTTTTCTGATAACTAGTGCTTACTCCTTTAAACACCAATGCTTCAAATATTTTTTTTTTCCACTTTGGATAGAAACCTTTCTTAAAATTACATCATAATTTTCTGTCTTCTTAAATAAAAGGCACTGGGAATATTTTTTATCTCTTTGTGATAATTCAGGCTGACCCAAACATTGTATGAACATTGTAATGAGGCAATATCTGGCATCGTGGTTAAGCACATACCTTCTCTAGTTTGATCGACCTATGTTAGAGTCCTGGCTTGGTCAGTTACTGACTGCGTGACTCTGGGAACAGTTACTTGACCTTTCTATGCTCCTGTTTCCTCATCTGTATAATGGAGACATTAATAATATCTACTGCATAGGATTGTTTTAAGGATCAGATGAGATAACACATCTAAGGCACTTAATATGTCACTGCACATAAGACACGCACAATAGCTTTTTGCTGTCACATTATTACTAGGTAGTGCTCTTTGTACTGTTATGTGGAAAATTCTGCCTATAAGGCATATTTAGGAGCCATATGGAAGCACCCCTAGAACCCTGAGGAAAGTATAATAACATTGATACATAAGGAATGAGAGACTGAAAGCTGAGCTGGGGGGCAGCAAGTAGCCAAGAAGACTGACCATCCAGTCTCAAGCTTCCAGGTAGCTGGGAGACAGACCTAAACACAAATATTTGCAAATGCCACTGGATAGAGTAATCTCTCAGGCCCAAAGTACCTAGCACAGTGCCTGGCATAAGACATGCCTAACAGAATTTTTGCTGACTCTATAAAGCTGTAAATGTATGAAAAACAAGAAGAGCAGGGCTTGCTTGATTATTGCCCAGAACACACTGTTATTTACATAAAGAACGAATGCCAGCTTGAAACTGTCAGCTTGGAAATGCAGAAAAATGGAGCCAGAGATGCAGCACAGCACTGATAAATTGAATATTGGGCTCTGGGGCATGGTGACCACATTAAAGAGCTGCCATCTTCTGGCCCTCTGGGTGGCCACTTGGCCTCTCCAGGTAACCTCCACTTTTGTGTTTTCATATGGCTGCCATGTCTTAGTGTTTCTAGAGGATCACACAGCTAGTAACTGATCAGGGAAGTGTGCTGAGACACCTGGGGGACAAAGTGCTCTCTGAGGCATCTCCCCAACTTTGACAGTGTCCTTTGAAACACAAAAGTTTTTAAAATTTTTTTTTCATTATTTATAACACATGAATCCGAATTGCATGAAGTTTTTAAAATTTTGATAAAGTCAAATTCATCTATTTTTTCTTTTGTTATTTGTGCTTTTGGTATCATATCTAAGAAACTCTTGCCTAGTCAAATGTCATGAAGATTTACTCCTGTTTTCTTCTAAGAGTGTTATAGTTTTACTTCTTACATTAGGGTCTTTGATCCATTTAGAGTTAATTTTTGTATATTGTGGGATATAGGGGTCCAATTTATTCTTTTGCATGTATACATCCAGTTGTCTCAGCACCATTTGTTGAAAAGACTATTCTTTCCCCTACTGAATTGTTTAATGATTGTTTAACGTAGCTTTGTAGTAAGTTTTAAAATCAGAAGGTATGTGTACTCCAACTTTGTTGTTTATTTTCAAAATCATTTTAGCCATTCTGGATCCCTTGGATGTCCATATATATATTTTTTTCAATTCATTTTATTGATTTCTTTTATTTATTTTTTCTCCTTTATAAATTTCAAAATATTAAGGGGGGTACAAGTATTTTTGGTTATATGGATCACTTTTGTAATGCTTGAGTCACGGCTATAGGTGCACCCATCACCCAAATAGTGTTCATTGTACCTATTAGGTAGGTTTTTGTCCCTTTTATCCTTCACCCTCCCCCCTGCTTGATTTCCACTGAGTTTTACTTCCCTCTGTGCACAAATTTTAGGATCAGTTTGTCCATTTTTGCAAAAAAAAAAAAAAAGCCAGCTGAGATTTTTGATAAGGATCATGTTCAATCTGTAGATCACTTTGGGGAGTATTGCCATCTTAATAATATTAAGTCTTTGAATCCATGAACATGGGATTTATTTCCATTTATTTAGGTTTTCTTTAATTTCATTCAACAATGCTTTGTAGTTTTCAGTGTACTTATACTATTACTGTAAATGGGATTTTTTTGTCGATTCAGTATTTGAATTGCTCATTGCAAGTAAGTGTATGGAAATAGAATTGATTTTTTATATTCATCTTGTATTGTTCACCTTTGTTGAACTTATTCATTAGTTCTAATCATTTTTTGGTGGATTCCCTTACGGTTTTCCTATACAAGATTATGTCATCTGTGAATAGAGATAGTTTTATTTCTTCCTTTCCAATCTGGATGCCTTTTATTTAATTTTCTTCCTTAATCTAACTGGCTAGAACCTCCAGTACAATATTGACTAGAAGTGGTGAGAGCAGACATCATTGTCTTATTTCTGATTTTAAGGGGGGAAGGCTTTCAGTCTTTTACCATTTTTTTTTTTAGAGACAGAGTGTTGCTCTGTTGCCCAGGCTGGAGTGCAGTGGTGCAATAATAGCTCACTGCAGCCTCCAACTCCTGGTCTTGAGTGATCCTCCCACCTCAGCCTCCCAAAGCACTGGGATTACAGGTGTGAGCCACTGTGTCCAGCTCAGTCTTTCACCATTGAGTATGATATTAGCTGTAGGTTTTTGGTAATTGCCCCTAACAAGGTTGAGAAGGTTCCCTTATATTCTAGTTTGTTATTTTTTATTTGTTATGATGAAATGGTGCTGGAGTTTGTCAAATTCTTTTCCTGCTTCTGTTAAGATGACTATTGGTTTTTGTTCTTTATTATGTTGATATGTTGTATTATACTGACTGATTTTCATATATTAAATCAATCTTGAATTCCTGGGATGCACCCCAGTGGGTCATGTTGTATATGCACATAGACATTTGTGCACATCTGTGATTATTTTTTTCCTTTTTTTGGGGGGGTAGGGTCTTCCGATAAAGACCGGAAAACCTGCTAGACAAATTCTAAAAGAGCTATAACACTTGCGATTATTTTTTTATTTTTATTTTTTTGAGACAGAGTCTCACTGTGTTGCCTGGGCTAGTGTGCCGTGGCATCATCCTAGCTCACGGCAACCTCAAACTCCTGGGCTCAAGCAATCCTTCTGCCTCAGCCTC